TCTATTAAAATCCTCCTGAACCATGATAAAAAGCAAGGTGTCACAATCCTTACCCATCTTCTAAAACAGGAATATAAGAGGAAGAACTCCTGATATCTAGCTCCTTTACGTTAACAGTTTCTTCTCATTTTAATATAGAATATACTAAAGAGATGTTTGTCTTCTAGTAGATAGTGGAAAGGAGGTGTTGGGGAAAAGCTTTTTGCCTGTCATTTCTTGTATCTTACTTCTCACAACAGTTCACATTGTTTAAGTGAAGAGTTTTCAAGGTTTGGGCTGCAAGCCTCAGCATGCCGAAATGAGCTGCAAATACGTGGAAGGGGAAAGTTACCAACATCATGCTTCTTCCTCTCCTGTTTATACTTTTATTAAAAAAGGAGCTCCAAAACATTTGGTCATTTGCTGCACGGCTACCTGGCAAATGCAACAAGCATGCTGAAACAATAGGGGATGTGAACTGGTGCATTTATTTCAATAAGTGCCATATGTATTTTGGAATTTGGTAATCATGGATCTGGCACCACTTTATAATGTATTTGGGACAGATTGGAACATTTTTCTGAGATTGCTATAACCAGGTGCTTCTGCCTCCCTCCGGCTAGCCTACCTTTTACTGTTCATGTTTCCTGAAAGGACAGGAATGGAAATAAGACATGATCTACAACAGCCCATAGAGACACAAAACAAAGCAATACTGCCAGTTCCTGGTTTTATTTCTCAATTCCCTTGCCTTCCCCTCCCCAGTTAGTTATTTTCTCAATAGGATCACACTGAAGCACCCATTACCGCTACTGCAGTAGGTGCACTTAGCTAGGAAGAGGTGCAACGCTGAATTACTTCGAAGATGTCTGCCTTGACCAACTGCATTTTGCAAGAGAAAGCTTAAGTTGTTCCAAGAGCAAAAGCTGAAATAGTGCAAGTACAAACTCCCTACCAGCATCAGATTTATCCTAGTAGTTAAAAGCTGTCTTAACTCATTGCCAACATGCTGAAGACATTAAGAAACCTCTATCTTGATGAGCAAAAGCAAGATGTCAGTCTCATTGAAATCTGTCAGAGGCTCAGGTACCTGGGAACAATCCATCTTGCAATGGGTAGGCCATCTATCCTTCAATAAAAGAGGGAATTCCAGGAGCTCATAACCCACCTTTCCCATTAGATCTCCAAGCCAAAAGGAGCACTGGTAAGGCTTGTCACTGTAATGTTACATTTGGTGTTACCGCAACATTTGATATTCATACTTCACATGTAGCAGGGCAGGAGGGCACGACTGACCAGCATCTTTGGGTATATTGTTCATCAGGAACCTCTGATAGCAAGAAATATTTTAACAGACAAAATAACCTATGCCTGTTAAAAGCGTTAAGAGTATGCTGAAGTGCAGAGTTTCCACACCAAATGCCAGAACTACATAACAAAGGGACCTGTGGCTAGACAACCTAAGTTCAAACTTCATCCTTCATACTCTAAGCAGTTTTAAATGCTTATAGACAGCGTTCATATTCCTTTCGCAACCACAGAAACACTGACTCAGCCCTGAGATCCCCCTGACACCATGCTCTTTTGAGACTGACCACCACCACAAGCGCCAGAACAGCCCCATTTAAGAGAGCCAAACAGTGACTGCCACAGCTGCTGCTGATACAGTACATTCATCTGCAGATCTCCACAGCCTCCCTGCCTCTCTGACACGCTGTAGCAAGGAAGCCTAAGAATAACAGTCATACATCTCATAGAAGACCAGTGTGTCCTTCTAACTTACTGAAGTGTGTTACCATTGAGTAGTGCTCATGATTTGAGGGAGGGGCAAGGATAAGGACTTATTTTGGATGTCTTTATTTCCACACAAGTTACAAGAGGCATTACTCTCTCTTCCCAAGCCAACCACATTCACCTCATTGTGCTCTGTGCTTCCATTCCAAAATCACGAGATCCCTCCTTGCTCCTTTTTGCCTTGTGGCACAGAAATTCCTGCCATAGTTTTACATATTAGTTGTACACTCTAGCAAAGGATATTACATTGATTAGTTTCAATCAATTAGTTTATTTTTATTTTTAAAGCTTTTAAGCAGAAGGAAAGCACCTAACTCTTCCTAAAGGGACTTCAGAGACAGAAGACAGACAGGTGTTGCAACTCACCTTGGACCTATAAGAACACCGACTACACCAACTCCTAGATACTCCACACAGAAGACTAGCAAAGACCTCTTCTTGTGGTATTTGCGTACCCTTCTCCATCTTCATGGAGCGTTCTCATTTCACATTGTTTGTGCTGGTAACACTAGCTTATAAAAACCTTAGTGCACAAGATTTCGTTACCTCTGCAATACTTGGTTTAAATGATGGTAATTGGTCATTTATTCATTACATAACCAAGTTCTGTCCACGGAGTGTGATTAAACATCAGAATTTTTTTCACTTAATTAAAAAAGTTTGTTGTCACACTCATTTTTACTTCACAAAAGAAAACCAAATAACATTTAATGTAACAGACTACAGAAAAGGGAAGAACAACACAGTAACACAACATCCTATATTTTACTGCGTTTTTCCTAGGACATGATTTGCGTATTAGCACGTAGTATAGTAGCTAATAAAGCCTGCTAGTTAAAGGACACTTCAACAAGCTTTCCAGTTAGCTTTCAGTTTTTCCATTTAGCCTCACCTTCACTTAGACCAACCCAGAGGCTAAGTCATATGCAAGACCTAGAAGCACAAAAAAAAAAGAGCCGCCACCAGGACAGCCTAAAGAAGACCACTACTACTGAATTAACCATGAGTTTGTGGTTTTCAGGTTTTCAACTCCACCTTCCCCTTTTAACATCTGGTGAGCCTCCAACAAGAGGATTAACAGGACTACCATGACCAAAACACATTTGAACTGTAAGACTTGAAAAAAAACAACTCAGTTTTTTTTGTTGGCAAACATACATTTTATTAGCTGAGAAGTAAGCACTGAAGAGAAAACCATTTCCTGCCGGTGGGCAGGAGAATCACGAGTGCAATTACGAAGAAGCACCAGGCCTTCCTGCCAGAGTTAACACACAGTCATAAACAGCATTATCATCAGTCCCATCGATGTTTGTTTTCAACCCAGATCAACACATAGTGTTCCTGCCTTTCGTATCAAATACAGAGTTAATCAGAATTACTGAATTTCAAAAGTTTTTTTGTGTTGCTTTTGCGTTCACGCATCAGTGCTCTGCTCGCTTCCTCAAGTCTTTCTCTACTTCCAACAATAAATCAGTCCACACACTTAGGCCACAGACTTGAAAGTCTCCATCCCGTGCCTTCAGGAGTTTGAGAGCAGCTTGGGTCTGTCGGCTGAGCATCACAGGTCCCTTACACAGGCAGCTAAAACGCTCCCTCAGCTCCTCCCAGGACAGTTCAGCCTCATCAGGGCAGCTTTTAACCCACTGTCCCTGCAAGGGGTCATACAGCAAGCTGCTTCCCCAGCCAGTCAAGAGGTCCAAATAACGCTCGCTTATTTGCAAATAGTGAGCAGCTAACGAAGCAAGAAGAGAGCCCGGGAGCTGCTGACAGAAGGCAGCAAACCTCTCCGAGTCCTCCAGCAGCCAGGAAAGCAGGGGGCCAGCCCCCGCTTCCTCCTCCTGCTGGGGGCCTCCCCCCTGCCGCACCAGCAGCAGCGCTGCCGCCACCACTCGGAAGGCTCTGGGCTGGGGCAGCTGCTGCAGGACCCCCCCGAGCCAGAGGGGCTCCCCCGGGGGCTCATCCCGCAGGCGGCCCAGCAGCAGCCCCGCTTCGGCGGCCAGCCGCGGCTCCGGGCCCCCGGGGGACCTCGGCGGGGAGCTGCGGAGCGGCTCCAGCAGGCAGCAGGCGGCTTTCCTGCGGGCCAGCAGCGCCAGGCGGCCGGGCCGGGCGGCGGGGGGCTGCAGCAGGCGCTGGAGGAGGCGGCGGCAGGCGGCAGGAGGCAGGGCGCGGTTCTCCAGCAGCGCCAGGCCCAGCAGCTCGGCGCAGCGGCCCAGCTGCCCGAAGGCGAGCGGGGAACCGGGCCGGGCCCTCCGCAGCCGCTGCCCCACGGCGTGGCGGAGCCGGGGCCGGGCGCGGAGGCGGTCGTGGAGGTGCTGGAAGTAGCGGCCCCAGTCCAGGGCCCGCTCCAGGGTCGGCGGGTCCCAGGCGCGCACCAGCGCGGAGCGGCAAACAGCCAGCAGCGCCGGCAGCTGCTCCACCTGCCCCAGCACCGCCTCCATCGCCCCGCCGCAAGCCGAGCCCGCCGCTGCCCCTCAGCACCGCCTCCCGGAGCCGATCGGAGCCGATCCGAGGCGGCGAGGGAGGGGTTAGGGGCGGCATTGGCCGAGCCGGGCGTCAATCCCGCTTCCTTCCCATAAAGGGGGACGGGGCGGGCGCCGCCGCCATTCCGTGACGGGGAGAGGGGGTTGGGGGGTTGTGGCGCTCCACGAGGAGGGAATATAAACGTTAAAAAATAAACCGAACGCACTTGTGATGCCTAAACGCGATTTAAAGAAGTGAAAGCTGTTCACGAGCACACTGTGCGGGGGTATTTGGCATCTCCAGGGTGGCCGTGTGGCCAGCCGTGGTGTCCCCGCTGGGGCTGGCTCCCAGCCCGCAGCCAAACCCCGCTCGCCTGCACCCTGTGGTGCCTCACTGCTAACTCCCTGTCAGCTATGCCCCAGCTGGCTGCCTTCAACAAAGCACCGTGTCCGTGCCTCGGATAGAAAAGCCTCTTGTAGCTGAGGGAGCTCTGGGCTGCCACCCTGTCCTCTCAGAGGGAAAAAAATCTGGAAGGTTCCCTCACAGGCATTCCCCATGGGGGCAACTTGAGCAACACCTCACACAAGCCACGGTGTAAACATGCCAGAACTGCTTGTACACAGCGATAGGAGAAAGGCCCTCCCTGCCTCCCCTTCCCACCTGCGCCAGCAGGAGCTGAAGGCCATTTCTCCACAGTGCACCAAAAAAAAAAAAAAAAAAAAAAAAAACCACAAAAATAAAACAAAACACAGCACAACCTGGCATACCTGTGAGACCAGCAGCTCAGAAGGACTTTCTTCATGCCCATGTCCTGAAGAGCACCTCACGGAGAACAGCGCCTTGCCCTCCGTCTCGTCCCTGTGAGGGCCGTGCACACGGCACTGCCTCACCACAGAGCCCGGCCAGCTTCCAGCACCTTCCATCGGGCGGCTCCTGAGGGCTGGGGAGGCTGCAGGCCTGCAGTGTGGGGCACTCCTCCTGTGTGGGGCACACAGAATTGGTCTAGAAACAGTAGTAAAACCCAAAATTCAAGGACAAAGAATAACGCTCTTCTTCAGCGGAGGCCCTGTTTGATTTTCTTTTCTTTCCATACACCCTAGCGCTGAATATAGCTCTGTATGGTGCTGAATATATTCCCCCTCTACTCATGAGACCCTACCTAGAGTACTACAACCACGTTTGGGGCCCCCAGCACAAGAAAGTTGAGGACCTGTGAGGGCAAGCCCAGTGGAGGGCCATGAAGGTGACCAGCGAGCTCTCTCCTACAAAGAGAGGCTGAGAGAACTGGGGCCGTTCAGCCCAAAGAAGAGAAGGCCCTGTGAAGGCCCCATTGTGGCCTCTGAATACTTAAAGTTGGTTTATGAAGAAGGATTCTTTGCTCAGGTAGATAATGATAGGACAAAGGGGAATGGTGTTATCCCTGGAATTGTTCAAGGCCAAGCTAGATAGGACCTTGGTCAGCCTGATTTAGCGTGTGGCATCCCCACCTCTGTCAGAAAAGTTGGAACTACGTGATCTTGAAGATCCCTTCCAATCCAAGCCATTCTGTAGCTTCCTTGGGGTTTTCTAACACACACCAATTGTTCCCTGGGCACAGACCCCACTCCTAAAGACAACTTCTAGTCATTAAGGACCAGCTTTAATGACATACTGCCTCCAAAATAAATCAACTTAAAATAAACCAATCTAAACAGAAGCATGGGTACTAACCTTTGCTACTAAAATCTTTTTCTAGACTGCTCAAGGAGGGTAGGTTAGGAACCTTCTGTCTTAAGTACCCTCATGAAAACATGTACCCTTTCACACCTGAGCGCCCTTACCCTGTTTTCTTATTTCAGCCACCTAGTTAGGAAAGAATGGGGTTCACCTGTAAATTAAGGGCCTAATACCAAGAATTACTGAGTGAAATCCTATGGCCATTGTTGTTGAAGGAGAATGGTATCTCTCAGTATCTATGAATACCCTGTAATAAACTGTATCTCATCTCTTTCTGAATGAGATGTTTTTGTACTGAAAAATCTTTTAAGCTTTCCATTGATTGTTTCTAGAGTAATAAAAATAAGATGTGCTAGGGTGTTGCATTGACAATAGAATTATTGCTTCTATTGTTAATCAGTTTATACTTTCCTATCATCTACCATGTCCATCTATTCCAAAGCATATTAGAAACTAATAAAAATTAAAGGAAAGATGGAGCACACAAACTCTAGTCATGTACAGTAAGTAGGTCTCTGTAGAGCTGCCTGAAAAATGGAATTTCTATTATATTAAAAATTCTGAATATATCAATATTTGTTCCTGTCTCAAATTAGGATAAAAAGTCTAAATATCAGTATATTTTTTTCAACAATGGGATACAGATTGATACCTCTATAATAAAAAGGTTATGAAGAAAGATTTTTATGTATTTCTAGGTATCATAGCTGTATTTGGAGTCTTGAGTCATGATGGGGGCACAGTTGATGTATATATAATAAAAAATATAAAGACTAATCCAAAGAAATACCAACATTCTGCATAAGATAGCATTAGAAGATGAATTTAAGGAACAAACAAAATGAATAACGTAACGCTGAGACAGTTAGATTCATATATTAAATGGTTACATAACAACATGACAATAGTCTCTAAAATAGTCATTCTTGTTCTACACTTGCTGTTGAAGGAAATCCCTTTCTGCTATTTTTTTTTTTTTTTTAAGAGGGAGGGAGGGAGGGAAGGGAGGAGGGGATGGGAAGAAAGAATGGGGGTGGAAGGGAGGGAGAGGGAGGAGGAACAAGAGAGGGAGAGAGAGGGGGCACGCCTGGCCACTCACAGAGTATGCTTTGAGTTGTTCCACTGCAAGCATGGAGCCTATTGATCTGCTCATGCTGTTGCCATCTAGTAATCAAATTAAATTGAATAAACTTGGTTTCTTTCTCACAGGTTAATTATTTACTTGTATTTTTAAGTGCTATTACCTTCACTTTCCTATTTTAGCTCTAGTGAAGTAATAGCTTGGGTAGGCTTAGGGCTTTTCATTACAACAGCAGAATTATTCAGTATCAAATTCTGTTATTTATGTAGCTATTTTTTAACAATTTGTGTTGTCTGTTATAACTCAATAGTATTGCTAAGCAGCTTTGCAAGTATTTGAATTGTTTGGATAGTAGTGCTGAATTGAGTTTCTGGAAGAGGAGTGGAATAGCAAGGAGGCACTTAGAAAAGTAAACAGTGTAAGGCAAAGAGATGATGTTAGTAAAGTTATTGTAACTTTGATGAGAATAACCCCGTGTAACACTACAGGTTTGGGGTAGAGTGGCTCAAAAGCTTTGCAGAGGAAAAAGATCTGGGGTTGTTGGTCAACACTTGCCTGAACGTGAGCTGGCAGTGTGCTCAGGTGGCTAAGAAGGCCAACGGCATCCTGGCTTTTGTCAGTAATAGTGTGGTCAGCAGGACCAGGGAGGTGATTGCCTCCCTGTGCTCTGCTCTGGTGAGGGTGCACCTCGAGTACTGCGTTCAGCTGTGGACCCCTCAGTACAAGAAGGACATGGAGGCCTTGGAGCATGCCCAGAGAAGGGCAACGAAACTGGTGAAGGGCCTGGCACACAAGTCCTGTGAGGAGCAGCTGAGGGAACTGGTGTTGTTTAGTCTGGAGAAGAGGAGGAGGCTCAAGGAAGACCTTGCTTTCCACAACTACCTGAAAGGAAGTTGTGGGGAGCTGGGGATTGGCCTCTTCTCGCAGATAACTGACCCTGGGAATTACAGGCCTGTCTGTCTTACGTCAGTGTGTGGTAAAATTATGGAAAAGATTATTCTTGAAGAAGATTATGGAGAAGATTATCCTTGAAGTTATCTAAGCGCACCTCAGGGACCATGTCCCAGCAAACATGGGTTCATGAGGGGTAGGTCCTATTTGACTAACTTGATTTACTTTTCCGATAAGATCACCCATCCAGTCGATCAAGGGAAACCAGCTGACGTGATCTTCTCGGATTTAAGTAAAGCTTTTGACAGTTTCCCATAGGATCCTACTGGACAAAATGTCCAGCATACAGCTAAACAAAAACATCCTACGATGGGCGAGCAATTGGCTGACAGGCAGGACTCCAACGGTTGTGGTAAATGGGGCCGCATCAGGCTTGCAGATGCTCACCAGTGGGGTGCCCCAAGGCTCCATTTTAGGGCCGGTCCTCTTCAATGTTTTTATAAATGAGTTGGACGTAGGACTAGAAGGTGTTTTGAGCAAATTTGATGAAGACACTAAACTTGTAGGAGTTGTTGACTCTGAGGGTGGAAAGGCCTTGCAGAGAGATCTGGGCAGAGTGGAGAGCTGGGCAATCACCAACCGCATGAAGTTTAACAAAAGCAAGTGCCGGGTCCTGCACCTGGGACAGGGAAACCCTGGCTGCACGTACAGACTGGGTGACGAGATGCTGGAGAGCAGCCCCGCAGAGAGGGATCTGGGGGTTGTGGTTGACAGCAAGCTGAACATGAGCCAGCAGTGTGCCCTGGCAGCCAGGAGGGCCAACCGTGTCCTGGGGTGCATCCAGCACGGCATTGCTAGTTGGTCGAAGGAGGTGATTGTCCCACTCTACTCTGCGCTGGTGTGGCCTCACCTCAAGCACTGTGTGCAGTGCTGGGCACTGCAGTACAAAAAGGATGTGAAACTGTTGGAGAGTGTCCAGAGGAGGGCTGCAAAGATGGTGAAGGGCCTAGAGGGGAAGATGTATGAGGAGCAGCTGAGGGCACTGCTCCTGTTCAGCCTGGAGAAGAGGAGGCTGAGGGGGGACCTTGTTGCAGCCTACAGCCTGCAACAGTGGGTGGCGTCACTGTTGCTGGGGGTGTTTAAGGAAAGGTTGGACGTGGTACTTAGGGACATGGTTTAGTGGGTGGCATCGGTGGTAGGGGGATGGTTGGACCAGATGAGCTTGGAGGTCTTTTCCAACCTTAATGATTCTGTGAAAGGATGTAGTAGGAGCACATAGATGTGGGGATAGAGTATTGAGTGGATTGTCAGAGAGCTTTGTGGGGTGCATTCCTGCTTAGCTTGATTACTTCTTGAAGAAAAATTGAGGGTCTACGTCTGGGATTCACAAAACTGTTTGTAAGTAAGACCAGTTTGCTTTGTAAGACCAGTTTGCTTTGGCCACTTATGATTGTAGAAATCTCCAGCATTGTTTTAGGATGTGTTTAGCTGTGTGTTTCACGTAGGATAAACTATACAGTCTCCTTATTTTGTCTGACAAGTGAAAGCCATGTGGATATTTTAAGGGAGACTGTACAGACTACACATGTGAGTGCATGAGGCTTTCTTTTGAGGAGTCCGAGGAAGCATGTAATCAGCTTTTGTCACCTCATCTGAAAAATTATCACTTCATTTCCCAGGCTGAGTACTCATGTGGCTGGTTTTTTTCTGATTATTTAAAAAAAAGAAAAAAAAGGAAAAAAAAGTGTATTTTGTATGATAGGCCAGAGAACAGACTTAAAATTGCAGCATATCAGACTGTTGAACTCTTCTGGTGGATGCTTCCCAGAAGTAGCTATGATAGTGTGAACAGGGGCTAAGTTGGGTTTTATTTTTATGATGTCTATTCTTCACTTTAATGTCTAAAATGTGTTAAAAGAATAGCTTCTTTGAGAACATTCATCTACTGTTATGTTAGACTGTGGTAACTGTTTCTGTGTTACAGCTTTTGATTGATAAGATACGCAGCCAAAACGGCTGTTGAGCAAGTATGAAAAGTGCCTGTCTGATGCAGAATCAGGGCAGTCATTTCCACAGCTCCTTGAACACAAACCCACTTTTCCATGAAACACTGCAAAACAGTTTCACAAGCCCTGTGTTTTGTATGAATTACTGTACTGTTTTGTTGAAGCTGAGAAGTCAAGTAAAAGATTTGTATGAAATTTTTATGAAACTAGTGAGTTTCTTTATTCTGGTTATGGAGCCAACAAAATGCGCTCTGGCAGGAAATAGCAGTTTTGAAGCAAAATTGGTCAAACTAGCCAGAGGTCTGCAGTCCATTGCTGTATTTACCTTCCTCTCAGAAGTCATATCGGCTGTAACAAGATTATACCGTTTCTCCTAAAAATAGAAGCTAAAGACATTCTGTTTCCGCAGTATACGTAGCAATTGAAAACTCCAAAATGGTCTTTCCTTACATATATACCTTCATAATACAAAAGTCATTGAGTAAATTGAGCAAGATGTATGATGTTTGGTTTTTTTTTGTATTAACATTCTTTTTTCTTAAAAAAAAAAAAAAAAAAAAAAAAAAAAAAAAAAGAGAAAACAAACCACCAACCAAAAAAAAAAAAAAACAAAAAAAAACCAACAAAACAACAACTGTGGGGAGGGCAATTTTATCTACCTCAAATGGCATAGTAGCCACCAGTCATTACATAGTGACTTGTGTATGTTGATGAATGTGTGTGAACCCACACACCATTCTTGTACAATATCTTGCTATTTGTACCACAGATTTTATGTAAAAATGAGGTTTTAGTTAAGGCTGTACCTGGCAGAACATGCCACCTTGTTCTCAACTTCTGCTGAAATCCTTTGAAATGTTACGTCAAAATGTCATCTCTCCAACCCCGAAGAGTAACAAAGCCACAACGTGCTTTTGGAACGAGAACGGAATGTGTGTGATTAAATCACATTGGAAAGGTATTGAACCTACGACTTTATAGATCAGTGTGAGCCTCAGATGGTTTGGAAGGACTATGTTAAGACATGCACAAGATAGAGAAGTGATTTGAGACACACAGCATGGATTCAACAAAGGCAGATCTTGCCTGACCAATCCGGTGGCCTTCTGTGATGGAGTGACGGCATCGGTGGACAA